TAAGATAGCTCGCCCGCTTAATGAGTTATTAAAAAATGAGGAGGTAGAGGATACAGTGGGCCATTCGAATCCAACCCACAAAATTAGGGGACCCAGGAAGTCACGAGAATCCATTCAGGCAGAATGGACTGAGCGTTGTGAACAGGCTTTTGATCAGCTGAAGCAGAGGCTCACAAATACCCCAGTCTTAGCTTATGCCTGCCACCCATTAATGCTGCATGAGTTCCGGTTGTAAGACATCTCATCGATCTCTAAAGAACATTACCGCAAGGCTGGACAAGGGGGGACGTGGCTGGGAGGGCCTGGGCATTGGCGGCCTCTGAGGAGGTAGCGCTACACTAGCATGAAATTGGTCGTTATTTTGCTCCTTACAGTGATTTAACAATGTTATGCGAGTGTAGAAGAGACATATTTACTGAGCCAATAGTGCTTGGAAACCATTCAGCTACAGTATTCCTACAGGTAGTCCTCAATTTACGACCACAATTGAGTCCAAAATTTCCAATGCTGAGCAAGAGAGTTGTTAAGCGAGTTTTGCCCCATTTTATGATCTTTCTTGCCACAGTTGTTAAGTGAACCACTGCAGTTCTTAAGTTTGTCACACGGTTGTTAAGTGAATCTGGCTTCCCCATTGCTTGTCAGAAAGTCACAAAAGGTGATCACATGACCCCAGGACACTGCGACTGTCATAAATACATGCCAGTTGCCAACTGTCCAAATTTTGATCACGTGACCATGGGGATGCTGCAATGTAAGTGTAAACAACAGTCATAAATCACTTTTTCGGTGCCGTTGTAACTTCAGATAGTCCCTAAACAAATGGTTGTAAATGGATGATTACCAATATTTAATAAGATAGAGAAAAGTGGGTGCTAAGAAAATCAAACAGTGATAGTAACATCACTAAGATCTAGTGCAGAGAACTAGTCTATTGTCATTGTAGTACCTTATAACAGTTTGTGCCTTTGTGTGTGTGTATGAATTAATAGACTTTTGTGCGTACACAGAATTATCTGCTTGTATTAGAAAGCCCGCTTTAATAGTATCTGTTTCCCATCATTTCCACTGTGCTTTTTAAGTTAATTGGGAAAATAGATAATCGTCTTTCAGCTGCCCCCTTCTGACTCAATTCCTGATCCAGTTATTCAGACCATATTAGAAACTCAGGCATGAAATAAGTTTGCAACAGGCAAAAAAATCGAAGAGTATTTTTTTCCAGACCTGTTAGTTTTCCTAAAACTTTGATTGTGCTGCAAATTGGAAAAAACAGATTTTTCTTTCTTTAGCAGTTGGATCTTAGACAGTACCGCTAGCTTCATATTCTAATACTCAATGCATTATTAGCTGGATAGCTTGATCAGATCCTCGTATTCATGTCTACTAAAATAAAGCAACTTCTTCTCTATTTTGTCTGTTTTAGCTCAAGAAGAGTGGACTATAAGTCGTCCCAGCCTAAAAGCTCCGACTCCTAGGTCAACCAGAGGGAGTTACAGGGAACACCCCTATGGTAGATATTGAAAGTCCTCCACATCTGTGACCTCAACTTAAAGACAATTAAAAACCCGTGGTCTCCACGTAAACAGCAACAAGACAAGTAATAGCCCATTTTTTTTCTATCCTAGGAATTACTGGTTATGATTACCTGTATACTACTTATGTTTCCAGACTGGAGTGAAACTGGCATTAGTATTATTTTTAGGACATGGACTTTAAAAGACTGTTGGCAGTTGTTGACTAAACCTTTCAGCAAGATGATGTTGTCTTGGTTGTTCCTCACTGTTGTGTGTAATTTTAAAGCAAAACAGGAAAAAAAAAAGAAGCATGAAGCTGCATCTCTTACGCCCTGTCCCCACACTAAGGTTGAGTTTTTATTTAGGGTTGCTAAAAAATGTAATATGACCTTTTTTTGAACCAGATGATAATCAAGATGTAGATAAGCTGTTTTAACCTGTCTTTTAATATATGTTAGTTAGATTTAAAATGCTTAATATTAAGTTTGTAAATTTCATTTTAAATGCTGTTTTAACGGGGTTGACAACAAGCTGCTACTGTATGGATGTAGCTAACTGAATTTGTCCAGTGTTTTAATCTGTATTTGTTTTGTTTTTTATTATTTTTTTTAAATCACATAAAGTTCCATGTGTAAGCTTCTCTAAATAGGAAACATAATTTTGTCAAATATGTTTGCCATAACTTGTCAATAAAGCTGAAAACTTTTGTAACAAACTAAATTTGGAATTACGTGTGTTTAGCTTTAAATGCCTGCTTGATTTCTTCTTCAAGAGATGCCTAAATATGTTTTTGATATAAACCCTTTCTTTTACAAAAACAAAATCTCTATATAAATGAACCCAAGTTTGTTTTAAGACGATGTGCAAGACTTTAAAAAAATTGTATTAATAGCTTATGGTTGTTAAATAATTTAAAAGCTAACCAACTAAACTGTGACATGACTCATGACTAGAGGACACTAATGTATATAACATGTTAATGGGGAAAAAAGTCGTGGCTTTAGAAGAATAAATGGATTTTTAAACTCTCCTCTTAAGTTTGATCTTGCTAAACACACACTCTGATTGATTCGTTTGTATTAGCCTGTCTCTCGTGAGAATGTAATGGAGTTTAAAGAGGTAAGATTATTGCTTACCAGTGTTAGACTGTCTAAATGCTAGATCTTCAACCGCTGAGTTTCCCCATACATTAAATATCCCATTCAACATGTAAGCATTGCATAGACTCACCTTCTTGTTTTCACTCTGAGGAGTCTGTCGGCTGCATTTGCGGAGTTCTCTAATAACTTGTCTTGACAGTCCAATCATCAGTGTCACTGCCCAGTTGTTGCTATTCAACTTCAAAAACTCTATTTGTAATTTTCAGTGCTAATTATCACCTCCCTTGAAGGCAGTTTATAGAGGGCTGTTATTTCTTTTGAGAATATCAGACTTGATGGCTGATGATTATTAACGAAATATGTCGCAGGACTCAAAGGATGACTAAACGTTAAACAGGTAACATTAATAGTAACTGTAATTTTGAGTATGCAACAGCAATGTTAAATATTCCAAGTGATTAAGTTACTGATAGTTAAAAAAGTAAACCTGCCAAAACTTAACAAATAGGTATTATAGGCTATTAAAATAGCTAATTAACATTAACTAGTGGCAACAAAATTATGTTACAATATATAACCCTTGAGGCAATAAACAGAACTAAAATTAACAATAATAGTAATGCAACTCTTGCTAACAGTAATATATAACCTACATTTCTATGACAAAAAGGAAGAGTTTTATCATAGGCAATCTTAAATGCAATTTTTTTATTTCCAGTGGCTTTTTGTCAATGCAATTGGTTTACTTTTTTGATGAGAGCAGAGAAAAATGGTGGCTGTTCAGTTTGTGAGCCCATGAAAGATTTTTTGCAGCTGGAGTTGCATGCTAACTTTCTTGACTAGTCTCTCAAAATGTGCATTCTCTCTGTTGATTCAGCTGTGTTTATTGATGTGGGCTTGGTTAGCTTGACATCTGTCACACTGAATGTTCTGTCTCACTGTTTCAGGGATCTGAACATACTGAACTGCAAGCTAGAAGACTGTTACATAAGGCCCAGGTAAGCAAGAAATATGATTAATCAATGAAAACAGATGCTTTTCTGATTAAAAAAAAAAGAATATTTGTAGCTCAGGATTGAACTGTGGGATCCTTGGTGCTCTCTCTCAGCTTAGTAGTTTTTTTGCATATATTTCATTATCCAACTAGGTGCTGACTGACAATGTTACCTAGTTGGGTAATGAAACATCTGCAAGAAAACCACCAAGCTCAGAGAAGCACCCTCCAGATTCTTTCTTCAGTAATTGTGAGGATTGTGTTGACTTCGTGGAAATACTGCCATTGTTACTAAACAATTTCAGTTTATTCCAATTCCAAGGTTGCAGTTTTATCCATTCTTTCTTAGATGTCACACCATTGATCAAAGTGGGATTTCCTTCAGTGTAAAAATGATTAGCTTGAAATGTAAACTTGTGTCCTCATCTATCAAATGCCAATAGTCTCCCAGATATGTTACAAGCTAAAACTATTCTACAAAGAAAAGTTACAGAAATATGTGGTGTTGGGTTTTGTGCTTGTCTATCTAGTAAGCTATTTCTGGTGTCCAAGAAGCTATAGAACCGTTATGAATGTGATGTATTGAGTTATTTTTCTTTTTAAAGACTGGAAAATTTCTTTTGAAATATATAGATAGATGATAGATAGATAGATAGATAGATAGATAGATAGATAGATAGATAGATAGATAGATAGATAGATAGATAGAGATAGAGATAGAGATATAGTAAGTACACTATCCATTAAAAACAGAAAGACATAACTGATATGACTTTTGGGATTGAGTAGGTTAGCCTGTATGTTAGATTTTATTTTATACAAGATAGATTTCTTTCATATATTTATTCATCTTCTTCCACTTTACAGGTGAAGCCATCTCAGGTTGGCAAGGTACCAGCTTTTGAACTAGGAGAATTGATTACTCTCTCATACCTGCTGACAGATTTTATATTCAGATACAACTTTTTGTGTGTGTTTTGTCCTAGAAGTCAAAGGACTAAGAGGAGCTTTTAGTTTTTCTTATATCTTCTTCTCATAATATTTCTTGGAGGGAAAAAATGGAATAATATAGCTATGTAGATCTAATACAGTACACAATTCTGCAAAATGTCAATAACTAGAAGTGCTATTTATCACAAAAGAAAGACACATATAGATTTTTTTAGTCATTTAGGCCAGCTTCGAATATTTGGTTTTAATTTGGTTTTAGAGGGGTTTTTATTTTTATTGATATGTATATCTGTTTTAATATGCTGTACACCGCCCTGAGTCCTGTGGGAGAAGGGCGGTATAGAAATTAAAATAATAAATAAATAAATAAAATGCATTGACAGCTAAAGGTAACTTTGCTGAAATTCACAAAGAGAATGTGTTTTCCACAGTTCATGATTCAGCTATAAGCAACCATATTATGGGCACTGGGGTAAGTCCTTATACTGATATAATGACTAGCAAAAGAATGGTGTAGGCCAGGGCTCTTCAAACTTGGCCCTTATATGACTTGTGGACTTCAACTCCTAGAATTCCTCAACCAGGCACGCTGGCTGAAAAATTCTGGGAGTTGAAGTCCACAAGTCATAAAAGGGCCAAGTCTGAAGACCCCCCAGTGTAGGCAATTTCAAATTTTCACCCTTTGGCAATTCTTCCCATATCGCCCAAATGGTTGAAGAAGCTTTTTTCATAATTGAATCCTTTGTATGTGACAGAGGATTCTAGAACCTGCTAGATTGCCCTGAAATTTACTTTACATAGATGTCTAATCAAGCCTGTTACATCGTATCTTTGCTCTGCATGAAAGAAGAACCTATCTAGTAGTGGAAAAATAATAGCAGTAGAGAAATGTCTGCTTTTCACCTCTTTCATTTCCTTGGATAGTTTGAAATATGTTACTTTGCCACAAACCAAACCAATATATGTTTCGGTTTACCACAGCACCAACCACAAACTGTGATTTCAATGCTCTGATCTCTACTTCTGGACTCAACAGATGGTTTTCTTTCTCACTTCATATTATTTAATACCCACATGGATTTATTGTGAGAACAAATGAGATATATCACAAATGCAAAACGTAAGGCAGTAAGACATTACACTTGGCAGTTCAAAAAGGCATTTTCTTCCACTTCCCCAAGAAAAGCACAGCCTTTTTCTCTGCTTAAAAGCATTGGTTGGTGCATTTATGCCATGATGACTTCTGGTCTATTCATAACTGGAAGTTTCACTGTTTGGCTCTTGGGGAATCTTAGAAGGTTCTTTTCTTTTTTCCCCTAAAGAAATATATTCACAAGATTTTGTTTTTTCCAAACATAGAGATCTGAATTTTATTGCAAAACTTTGAAAATTGTGTACCCTGAATCCATTGTCTTATTCTAGAGAGCCGACAATGGGACAAACCTCAAAGTATGGTTGGTTGCTAAACTTCAGTTCTGTCGTCCAAGTCATGTGGTACCATTTTACTGCTCAGACAAAAATAATCTAGCTTTCTAAATTGATTGGAAAAAGGACCATCTGCAAATTGTTGTCAGATGCATATAATTCTGCACTGGATCAATGACTGCAATTCTAACATTAACAAAGCATTAGTCATGATAACAATCAGAGCCTTTTAAAATCTATAACAAGAAGTTGTTTAGCAAATACTTTATTAAAGGCGACTCTTAGCATCTGATATTCATAGATTTACTATCTCATTTCATTCATAGGGTCATTGTGATTTCCAGTGAACTACATGAACTTTGGAATGGACTGTGGGTTATACAAACTACACAAGGACAAAGAATAAAGCAAGGTAGGGCAGCCTTCTTATCTAGAAGAAGACAACATTTCAATAAGTATTAGATTGACTCACTTTTTGTCAGGATAACTATTTTTGAGTTGGGACTCAAATCGGATTATAGGACATAGGCATTGACA